TGACAGCGTGTATGTGTGACTCTGTTAGTTTTTTAACACTTATTTTTTTACGTTTATTTATTTTTGAGAGACAGAGTGAGACAAATTGAGAGTGGGGGAGAGGCAGAGAGAGCGGGAGACACAGGATCCGAAGCAGGCTCCAGGCTCCGAGCCATCAGGACAGAGCCCAATGTGGGGCTTGAACCCACAGACCGTGAGATCATAACCTGAGCTGAAGTCGGACACTCAACCGACTGAGCCACCCAGGTGCCCCTGTTAGTTTTTTTACTTAAAATCCATGACCCGTTTCTTCTTTGGCTTCACAGATCTTGATTTTGCCTGGGGCTGTGGGATGTCTTCTAGGCAATGGATCCTAAGTGATTAAGCCAGTCTTGACAGTCTGTATCTCTGCTCCCTTTGGTTTTCTGGGATTCCTTACGTCAGCCTGGAAAAAAAAAAGGGGTGATGGGGCTGGTTTTATCCTGTCCTCTTTCTTTGTGCTCTGATTGTGGATGTGATGCCCAGCGTGGTGGCAGCGCTCCGAGACAGTGAGGGGAAGGTCAGGAGCTCGGAGATTCTCCCCGCGACAGAGCCTTTGAACCCGCTGCCTACCTCCAGACTAAGTGTGTGAGAAGAACAATCCTTTCTTCGTCTACAAGGAGCCTGGCCCCCTGTTGTTGGGCTTTCTGTTTCTTGTTGAGCAGGGCTTTTTTTGTTTTTGTCTATTTTTGAGGGATGCATTCTTCAGTTTTCTGCATGTGGCTATTGCTCGGTGCCTGGTGTGTCCCCTGTCCCCTGTAAATGATTGTCAGGTGACCGAAGAGCATACTCTCTGTCACAGCATCAAGCTGCTTCTGCTTGCAGGGGACAGCAAGCCCCTTAGATGTCAGCAAAACAGGGCACTTCTAACTCAGGTAACAGGAAAGTGAGGGCGAGCTGGGTTCCGGGGCTCAGCACCCACCGCACCCGTCTCTGGCTCTCAGCCCTACTTCTGTCTGGGGGGGTGTCTTTCCAGGTGGGTGCAGTCTACAGGAGAGGGAGGAAAAGAGCCCCAGGTGGCTCCAGGTTTACAGGATTATCAGAGCTCCTGCTTCTAGCACAGTGGATGGCAGCCTCTTCCTTGAGGGATCACATAGTAGGTATTTGGGGGTCTGTGGGCAACTCCCCAGCTAGGACTGTGTAGCAGGAAAGCAGCCACAGACAGTATGTCTACACATGGGCACGACTGCGGTCCAGTAAAACTTCACTTACATAGACAAGTCGTGGGCCAGGTTTGGCCCTTAGGCCACTGTTTGCTGACTTCGGTTCTGGAAGAGACAAGGTCTCTTCTCTAGTGGTTCGTGTAGAAGCTGTGGGGAGAAGCCTGTGGTCCAAGGCTGGGACTAGGGTGAGGCCAGTAAGGCATTTGCTGCAGCCTCAAAATTTATGGGGGCACCAAAAATTTAGCAACCAAGAGAAATGACATCTTCGGGCAATATTTTTAAAAAGTCAGAATTAATACAGAAAAAAAAAAAAATGACGCCCAAGATAGTAATCAGGGCCGGGATGAGCACAGGGTGGTGAGCGAGGCCAATTGTGGTCTACACCCTGCTCCTCCAGGTGGTTGCCCTGCTGGGTTACCTGTCCACCCCAGTGGGAGGAGAGCTTCACAGGCAACCAGATGGAATGCGGTTCTCCTAGGAAGGAGGGACACGGCTCCTGGAAGAAAGGGGGGAAGGGATACTGCTTGCCTGCTGTGGTGCCTTGGCCCAAAGCTTTTTAAGCTTTATTTTCTCACTTTTTCCCCTTGTCACAAACCGTAAAGGCGGGTACTGTTATCCCCATTTTACAGATCGGGAACATGAAGGACAGAATAAGTTGCCCAAGGCCACACGGTGCCTGAACTAGAATTTGAGTCAGGGTTTTTGTCCTTGTACAAAGCGTCTCAGCATCTATTAAAGTTGAGTCCTGTTAGAAACTTTGCCAAAGGGCCTGTGGTGTTCGTGGTCCTCTGTGAAAGGTGCCCCGGGAGGGAGCTCGCCGCAGCGCCCCCTGCATGGCTCTCGTTTGTGTGGGCAGACGGCTTTCCGGCGTTTGGAGAACCAGGAGCCCTCACCCCCTTTTGGAATCAGCCCCTGGTTTCGGGCCATAAGGGATCGATGTTAATCCCGAAATTATGTTATGGACACTGCAAGCCTTAAGTGGCAGGTGAGGTGAGAGGCACTGGAAATAGACCGTATTAATGCTGGCAGTGCAGGTGGACCCTGCCGGGATAATTCTTATCATCGCCGGCATCACTTTGGCAGGCTTTAGAAGGATTCTGTAGCGCTAAGCAATTTACGAAATTGAAAGGTGAAAACACATGTTCAGGTGCTGCGTACACATTCAAGGTCAGAGGTAGGTCACGGCAGTTCTCGAGAAAGACCGGATGCAGGTGAGAGTCACCTGATTTGAGTCATGACAGAGATGCAGACAGTTGTTCGGCATGTTTCAAAACAAGCGATGGGCCTTTCGGCCTGGGCTCTTGCTCTCACCGTCGCCAGTCCTGGTTTCCGAGGGAGGCTTTGAGCGGAAGAAAGGCCGTGATGCACACGTGTGGTCTGGGCTGACCTCACGGGCTCGGGAAGGGGATTTGTGTGGCATTTAGGGATTGAGACACGAGGTAGTCCTGAGTGAGTGGCTCCGTTGGTTTTTCCAGTCATTCCCGAGGTGTTCGTTTACGTCTGATCCTGGAGGTTAGCTGGATCCACAGGTCCCCCTACGTACGCATTCAGTTGCTGTTACCAGAAAAAGGAGAAGAGGAAACAACACAATTGCTTTGGTTCGAGAAGGTAGTCATTGAGCAAATGGTGGTTGGCCATCATGGCCCGGGCGTCGTGTTCAGGCTTTGCTTCCCTGTTCTCCGGTCTCCCTGAAATCTCTGAGTGATTCTGCACTTTGGGGCTTATTTGAAGGGAGAGGAATCTGAAGCTTAGCGTGGCCGAGGTAGCTGACCAGGGCCATTCTGTTGATTGGTCTCTTCACTGTTGTGTGGCCTGCTGGACTGGAAGCTTGTTGGGCGGGCGTGAATCCTTATCTACCTGGTAGCCCACAGCCTTGCCCGGCCCGTGGCAGCTCCCACGAAGCAGTCCAGGGGCGCCTGGGAGGCTCAGCTGGTTAAGGGCCCTTCTTCTGATTTCGGCTTAAGTCATGATCTCATAGTTCGTGGGTTCGAGCCCTGTTTCGGGCTCTGTGCTGACATGCTGAGCCTGCTTGGAATTCACTCCCTCTCTGCCCCTCCTCTGCTTGTGCTCCCTCTTTCTCTCTCTCTCTCTCTCTCTCTCTCAAAATAAATAAACTTAAAAAATTAAAAAAAAAATGCAGTACAGGGGCACCTGGGTGGCCCATTTGGTTAAAGTGTCTGACTCTTGATTTTGGCTCAGGTCACAATCTCACGGTTTGTGAGGTCGAGCCCTGCATTGGGCCCCTCACTTGAGAGCATGGAGCCTGCTTGGGATCCTCTCCCTCTTTCTCTGCTCCTCCCCTGTGTTCTCTCTCTCTCTCCCACCTCAGCCAAAATAAGTGCAGCAGAACTTGAAACAACAGTCCATGCTGACTGAGCTGAACTGAATGCTTCCAGCGAGCCACTAAACCTGGGAGGCTTATGAGATGCGTGGTTCTTGCATTTCTAGAAGGAAGGTGGAAAGATCACGTCTCCTTCTCAGGAGGGCTCCAGATCCTGTTTACCTGGTGAGTAGAATCGACGTCAATCACAGAGATCTTCAAGATTTCCCTTTGGGATAGTGGGGCAGCTAGAACATGACCGGCAATAGGGTTGCAGAAACTTCCTCATTGCTAGCATAAGCCTCTCTGATTTATGGCTGCAGTCAGGCGGTTCCCTGGTCCCATTCTGCTGTGCACACTTACTGACGTGTATCCCTTAAGTGAAATTAAATACATTGGTCAGGCTTTGACCTGTCTTTTTTTTTTTTTTTTCAACTATTCATTTTTGGGACAAGAGAGATATACAGATATGGAATAACCGGGGAGGCAGAGAGAGGGAAGGTTGAAGGCTGGGAACGAAAGATTTTTGGTGTCTTGCAGCCAGTCAGCCCAGAGCCCCATCGCCAGGGGCTTTTCCTAACCACTGACTGATCGCGACCTGGCTGGTCGGACGCTTAACTCACTATGCCACTACCCAGGCTCCTGACCTTGCCTTTGAATACAGAGACAGCCTGCAGCTTTGGAAGAGGACTGGAGGTCAGGTGTGTAAAGTTCAGTGCGCGTGAAGGGACTAGCTCAGCAAGGTCCATCCACAGTTCCAGCTGTTGCTGCTACAGAGCAGCAGTATGAAAAGTGTTGGCGGTGCAGAAAATTGATCAGCAAGGTTAGTAGATTAATGAATGAGAACATGAAAAATCTAGTGTGGATGAAAAGGGGAGGTGAGGAGATACAATAACTTTTCTAGCTCTTCCTAAAAGCCTCCCAAGTCTGTCTCCTTCAGTCATATGGGAAATTAGCAGGGAAGTAGAATGCGGGACAGTGCTGTGTGCATGAAGAACAAAACTAAAAGCAGTAAGTAGATAATTGGCAATATATCATGTTTGCAGAAGAGAAAATAGTTCCTACTATGTTTAACTGCTGTCAAATACCATGTTCTCAAAGACCTAAAATTTTTTTTTTCAATGTTATTTATTTTTGAGAGACAAAAGTTCCAGGGAGGGGCAGAGAGAGGAGACAGAACTGGCAGGCTGTGTGTGTCTGAGTTGGGCACAGGAGTCCCAGGATGGGCTTTGGAAGTCCCATACTATTAGATCATGACCTGAGCCTCGGTTAATTAAAGAACTGAGCCACCCAGGTGCTCCCATTAAAGATTTTTAAATGTTATAGGAAAACTTTAGATCCCTAGATCACAGTAAGTGAAACAAACCGGGATTCAAAATTACACTCTTTGGTAAATCTTTTTCTGTGCTAAGGAAGTAACTTTTGCAGAAATGACTGGAACTGTAAATGTCAAGGCTGGCCCCAGGCTGAGTGCCACAGTGTCCTGCCCCTCTCTGCAGAGAGCCCGTGGTTCTGGTTCTACGTGAAGGAGGTCCTCAGCAAGTACGCGAGCTGCCACGCTTTCACTCCCATGCCACATCGCCGCGATCCAGGAGCCGGGCCTGGCTCCACAGATGCCCCCTGAACACCTTGTGAGCGGTACCTGCACATGTCTGGTTTGACTGCAGGCCTTAGGTACCCGATGGGGCACCCTGCGGGAGGGGGTAGCTGAGAGCTTGAGCCTTGTAGACCTGGACTGCCCGGCTTGGTTTCCCAAGCATCGGGCGGGCGGGTTCCCCTCCGATAGTCCCTGTTGATTCAGCTGGTGCTGTGGGCACGGTTGGTCGGAGAATTAGTGCCAGAGTGGTGTCTCTGGCTCAGCATGGCACCTGTAGACAGCAAGCACTCCATAAATGTTATTATTAGTGTGCAGGTGGAAGGCAGGAGTGGAGCTGTCATCCCGGGACATAGCCTGCTCTTCCTTTGGTGGTTTTAGACCAAATTTCTTCATCTGAGAATCTTCTTTTCTTCTGATACTGGGTGTCTAGAATACTACGTGTGTTTTCCTTTTCTTGTGCCTTATTCTTTACGGGGTTCCTTCTGTTTTTTTGTTTTTTGTTTTTTGTTTTTTTGTTTTTTTTTTTTTTGAGGTTAATCCCATACTGACTGAAAGAAATAGGGAAGTTTTGTGTAGGGGATAGAAGTCAATTGTTAGTTTAAAATTAGCCATTTTATGATGTTTCCTCTTTTTGTTTTCCCCTTGATTGTAGACTTAAAGCTCACTCCATCAGTTAGTATAGGTCATTTTTTGCTGCCAAAACAAATATCATAAAACCCTCAGTGACTTGAGATAATAGCCACATTTACCTCTCCCCCTGCTACGTGTCTGTCGTGGATGAGTCTGGGTTTCCCATCTCAGGGTTCCAGGCTGACATAGGCTCCGTGTGAACGTTGCTTCCACGGTCGCTGAGGTAGGAAGAAGGGATGTGGGTTGAACTGAGTGTTGGTTTTTAAAGCTTCTGCCCAGAGAGAACCTTCACTTCCACTCACATTTCATTGGCCAGCAAGTCACATGGCGGCGGCCTAGCTCGGCAAGGTGGGGGTGCCTGGCTGTCACAGAGCAGTGGGGAGAGGGCACCGAATATGGGTCAAGTGTGGTACGGTCAGCCACGTTCCTTTCAAAACCGTGTGACAGCGCTGTCATTTTCTTATACTCGTGGTGTTAATGATATCTCTGTGTTAGTGGCTGTTATTTACCACCTGAGAATGGTGGATGAGACATGTCGTTTTGTGTCACCTGATGATGCAAAGGGACGGTGATCCATCCCACACTGGTGACCTGAATAGCTTCCACATTAGCAGTGCCCAGATCCTCAGTAGTGAGGATTTGATTTCAGTGAATTAATCTCATTTAATTCAGTAAGCTGGCATTTCCTCAGTGTTGTGATGCATGGCCACGATTTTATCTGCTGCCACGTGCTCCCTGGCTTGTCTCCCCTTCTGTTTCTTTTTTTTTGTGTGTGTGTATGTGTGTGTGTGTGTGTGCTGCTTCTGGTCATCTCCCTACCAGCAGTTTGTTATGTGTTCTGGGATGATCCAGTCAGGTCCTTACAAATACCCCTGAAGTTCTCCCAGTGATGATGCTCCTGGCACCTCGCTTGGCTGGACACTCAGACTGTGGGTCTGAAATGGGAGGCATGGGGGCCAGGAATGCCATGCTGGACAGCACCCGTGTGCTGTTCAGCTCTGGGCTGGGAGGCTGTGAACGTCTGCGTGCACCACCCCCCCAACCCCACCCTGAGCATTAAGCGGTTTTAGTTGAGGAGAGCACACCCCGTTTCTTACATTTCCAGGAAGCTCCTCCCAGCAGATCATTTGCAAGTAGTTCCGAGTTGTCCCACTCCATTTCAAGGTGGACTGTTAACAACGAACAGCCGAATCTCAGTTGAACTTAGCTGAATCACTAGCCACTTATCCACCTAGCTGTGGGAAAACCAAATTCACTTATACACGTGGAACCTGGCTTAGATTTTTAAAGAGTCACGGTCTTGGGAATTGGAGGTACAGTTGGCATGCCAGCTCAAACACGTTTATGCTTCCGCTGACGTTCTGCTGGGTGAGTCTGTTGAAAGTGGGGCGTTTCTTCTTTCCTGTTAGTTGTCCTCAGTCACTCGAGCGGGGAATGCATCCCGTCTCCTGCTGAACCCCATGACCCTCACCACTGATGGTGCTTCAGTGATTTGAGCTTTGAGGCAATTAACTGAGAGTTCTCCTACCTGGTGGCCTAGTCAGGGGTTGAGGATATTGGCTTGCTGTGGTTTAGCAGGGGTTGGATAAAGAGCCAGGGCACTGGGCTGGGAGACCTGCTTCAAGCCCTGCCTGTACCATTACTGCCAACGACCTTGGACAATCCCTGTAGGCCTTGCTGACCTCTTGCTACAGCCATTTAGATTCATGGGGCCCTTTTAGCTTCCCAGCCCTTTCCAGGGATAACTCGGGCTTTTGGGTCTGCAGCCCAAGGAAGTATTTCATGCAAATGTTGTGGTTGCTGGAGCCACAGAATTCTAGAATTTCTTTCTGAAGTTGTTTCTTGTGGTAGCTTGGTCAGGGGGCCAGCTTGGATTTCTTGTGTGTCTTACAGACATTCCCTGAGTGAGCCCTACCTCTCTGTTTGTGTCCTTCCCCTTTGCTTCTTGATATAAATACCCTGTTTACGTTGCCCATTTCGGTACACTGGAGCTCAGGGCACCAATGAGGAAGTCGTAGGATATATACCTTCAGTCCTTTACAACCAGAAGCTTCATCCCCATGGAGACCTTGGATTTCCGCTCTGGGATGACCGGGCATGGATTTTCCAGGGAGCCATGTAAGGGAATTTATTTGGCTGATGGATGCAGAGAACTGCTGTTCAGAGCTTTTCCCCTTTCTCTTTCAATTTGCAGCACTTTTTATGAAGACTGGTCTTTTGTGATGGATGAAGAAAGATCTAGCATGCTTCCCACCATGGCAGCTGGTAAGCCTGGCTCAGGCCAGGATTGATGAGTCCTTGAAGTGTGGTGAGCACAGTCGGCTACCTGGGAGGGAATTTATAACTCCAGGGGATGCTGCCATTTCCCTGTCCCTTGCTGACTTAATGGGTCACTGGCCACTGCCCTTCCTTTGGTGGAATTGATTACTGAGCCCATTTGTCTTGAATTGGATACCCTGGTAGGGAAAGCCTGGGGGTGGGGACTTTGGCCATGGCTTTACAAGTATAACATGAAGACCTGGGGATTTGGAAGCAGGAGACCTGCCTTTGAAGCCTGGCCCTACCTGGCTGGTGGCCTGGGGCAGATCCTGTGAGCTCTGTCACCCTTACTGCCTGCTCCTCTGCAAGGCAGGGGTCTTGATAGCATGGGAATTGTTTTCATAGTGCCATGAGAGAATCACACGTGACGAGAGTAACATGTGATTTATCATCGTGAGAGCCCTGGATTGATGTTAGTTGGTGAATCGTTAGATTATCATTTGATTTTCACTCAAAGGGTGAGCCCAACAGAAGTGGGTAACTTGCTTCTTTCTTTAAAATCCTTCCTTGCCTCCCTCCTTTTTTTTTTTTTCCCCCTGAAGTTTCACACTAAGGCCCACATATTGAGAGTTAATGTTAGTCGTGTCCACTGAGGAGGAGAAGTCAGGCTCTGACCGTGAATTCTGGGTAGGCCAGAATTCTGCAAGCTTTTACCTAAAGTAATTGTGGTAATGATACTGGTTGGCGCACATTTTTGGTTGCGTACTGAGCTGAGTGTTCTTGGTGGGTGATTGTCTTTGACACCCTGTGAAAGCGATGCTGTTGGCCCCGTTTTACAGATAAGGAAGCTGAAGCTCAGGTGGTGCATGGCCTGACCAAGGTCTCCTAGAACGTGGTAGGATTCACCGCAGGCCCTCTGACCCCAGGGCTTACATCTTAACCTCCCCCCAGGCTGACCTCTTGTCTTCCACAGATAGGGAGAGGATTTGGAAAGAGTCCCCTCCTGCCATCGCTGGTGTCTACTGACCCCATTTTGTGGGAGGTTTTTAAATCCGTGTTTAAGATCAGCCGGTCCCCTCTTGCGTGTTCTGCCAGGCCCCACGTGTTCATCGTGGTGGGGGCGTGACTCTCCCATGGCAGACACTCCAGACTTTTCCCTTTTTTGGGGCAGGTCTGAACTCTATCCTCTTCGCAATTAACATCGACAACAAGGACTTAAATGGGCAGAGTAAGTTTGCTCCTACCGTCTCAGACCTCTTGAAGGAGTCCACGCAGAACGTGACCTCCTTGCTGAAGGAATCCACGCAAGGAGTGAGCAGCCTTTTCAGGGAGATCACAGCGTCCTCTGCTGTCTCCATCCTTATCAAACCCGAGCAGGACACGGAGCCCCTGCCCGTCGTGTCCAAGCACGTCAGCACCGGTGAGCAGGATGGGGCGTGTGCGGTGGAACAGGGGGTTCGGGTGAAAGGACGACTGGCCGCGGCCAAGAGGGATGCATCTGGTGGTCTGAAAGTCCCAAGGGGAATGAAATCTATGTTCCCTTCATTTTTAGTTCACGTTTGTGTTTATTTTTCTTCCGCTAACTCACTCTGGAAGGGGCTGAGAGCCCTGCTGAGCTGTGGAGATGATATGGTGGGAGAGCAGACAGCTCACCGAGAGCACACTGAACGTGAGGGTGTGTGAGTCGCATGAAAACAGAAGAGCTGGAACTTCATGCATTTATTCCTTCCTTTGTTCACATGTTGTTTCACTGCGTTCTGTGTGCTCAGTGGGGAACTAGGAAGATTGCTAACATTTAGACCGCAGTGTCCTTTGGGCTGGGTAGGGGTACCCATTTGATGGCAAATTATACAAATAAGTGAGTATCCTCTTGATAAATGGGATAAAAGCCAAGCAGGGAGTGCTATCAAGAGAATGTGTACTCTTGCCGGGGGGGAGGGGGAGGTGACAGGTGCAGGCCAAGGGGGAGGGAGGAGTTGGTCAGCTTTGACTCTAGGCTGTGGGGAGGCAAAGTTGATTTAGTTGAGATCAGTTTTATGAGAAGTCTGTGATACGCTTTGAGCCTTCCGGGGCGTCCAGAATGTTGCTACAGCAAAGTTGGAGATGTGGGGTTTAAGTACGTAGTCCTGGTATTCTCAAACCTCTTAAACAAGGCAGTGATCATGGGCATCTCTTTGGAATTATTACTGACGGTGAAGATTCAGAACCCATGGGGTCTTTGGTATACATTGGCTTTATCTGTCTGGTCCTCCCCTTCTCTGGCAGAGACCCCCAGCAAATGACAGGAAATAGGACCGTTGGGGGCTTTGTGAAGCAAAGACCCTGGAAGTTGTATACCCCAAGGAGCGTTCTTTCCATCCATTTTGGGGACTCTGCTTTTGACACTGTCTCAGCGTTTGATACACTGGTGAAGCATCCCCATGTGGTTCAGACGGGAAGGAGTGTCTGGAGTCAGCTTGAAGTGTCTCACACCCAAGTTGGACGATTAAGATGGGTGAACAAACCGGTTCACATAAGTACTAGTCACCAAGACAGCCTTGATTTCTGTTTCAGGTAGTCTTTGCTGTGTAACAAACAGCTCCAAAGTGTAGTGGCTTGAAACAACCACAATTTATTATTTTTTTGATGACTGTGCATTGATGGGGATAGTTCTGCTGGTGTCGCTTGGGCTTCCTCATGGGGCTGTCCCGAGCTGGTGGCTGAGCCGGAAGATCTAAGACGGTCTCACTCATGTGCCGGGGAATAGTGCCCACTGTTGGCTGGGGCATCTGTTTTTCTACACGTGGCCTCCTCTGCTCTGATAAGCTAGACTGGCTTCTTTCCCCGGTAGTTTCAGGGCAGCATTCGAGGGGGTGCAGCACCTACTGATGGCTGGCCTCCAGAGTTCCCCGTTACTTGTGCCACATGCTGCCGGGAAGATGTGAGCACTGAGCCAGCCCGTGCTCAAGGGGGTGGGGAAATAGACACACCCTCAGAAGGAGGAGCAGCCGAGTCCCATTGTAAAGGGGACCATTGACCACCACCCCAAACGGCTGTTCTTGGTCTCATCAGTCAGCCAGGAGAGTGCTTTCCAAAGTGAAAGTTGTCTCAGGAGTGGGAGCACCCTCTGAATCAAAGTGCTCAGAAGGGACAGTTGTAATGTGTGCTCTGTGGTGTGTTTGTTTACCCCGGAAGTGTAGTCCCACATCCATTTTGTTCAGTCTCCTGTAGACAGGTTTTTCTCCCTCGAGGATTAAAAAAAATCTGAATGTATCTGAAGTGTATTTTTCCGTTGACCAGCGGAGGAATTTCCACGATGTAGACGCCACATGGCTCAATTGTGGCTTTATCTTGCCTACTTCTTGTGACACCGTATGTTCTTTTACCAGATGCCAAATGTAAAAAGGAGCGGAAGAAGAAGAAAAAGGTGACCAACATCATCTCGTTTGACGATGACGAAGAGGAGAACTCTGGCGATGTTTTTAAGAAGATACCCGGGGCCGGGGAGAGTTCAGAGGAGAACTCCGACCGCTCCTCGGTCAACATCTTGTCGGCCTTTGAAAGCCCCTTCGGGCCAAATTCCAACGGAAGTCAGAGCAGCAACTCATGGAAAATTGATTCTCTGTCTTTGAACGGGGAGTTTGGGTACCAGAAGCTCGACGTGAAAAGCATCGATGACGAGGATGTGGATAACAACGAGGATGATGTGTACGGAGGGAGCATGTCCGGAAGGAAGTGCCTGGGACACTCGGGGTCGCCTGAGAAGTAAGTTCCACTTGGAGCTTTTAGCATAGGGTTGGCGCGTTAACGGCTTTCTCTTTCTGCAGCCTCGGGTGAAGTGAGCGCACACACGGTTTATAGGAGGTATCATTCGCTTTTCTGATCTTGAGTTAGGAGGAAGGAGCGTTAGCTTACTGTCTTCCTGAGAACGAACTCGAGGGAAGGGAGTGCATTTGAAGGTCCTTCTTCTAAAGTTGGTATCAAGACGCGTGCCTTGACATTCTCGCCTTAGGTACGTGTCCTTCATTCCTGTTGCTTGGATGTTGCTTGTGTCTCTAACTTGCTCCTCGCACAGGAAGCTCGGGAGAGAGGCAGGGTTTTTCTAGAGCACAGTCGCAGGCTGCCAGTTTCTCTGTTTATGTACCGGGGCGTGAACAGCAGGAATTTGCCTGCACTTGCCTCTTGAACAGTGGACTTGGCGGTAGGTGGATGTTTGGAAGGGCCCTGATGCACACGGGGGCAGAAAAGCACAACAGCACAGTGCAGAGCGTGGATCCTGGAATCGACACAGCCTGGCTTCTCATTTCCTAGCTGCGTGGCTTTGCTTGGACACGTTTACCTCCCAGAGCCTCAGGCCTCATCTGAGACCTGGGAGCAAAACAGCACCTGCTTCTCGGAGTCGTTGAGTTAGCGGCAGACGTGCGTGGGGCCTTTGGCAGCAAGAAGGCACACAGGTCAGCTGCTTCTGCTCTCGCTGCTCTGTACCCATTCCTGTGCTTGGTCTTGCTCTGAGCACCAGATGAACGAGCTGCCCCTTCACTTGGGCCTTGCGGTGCACGGGGCCATCGTCACGCTGGCTTCACACCCAGCCCGTGACAGCATCACCTGGAGACGCCGACACCCCGCAGTGGGATTGGGGGCACAGCGTCTCTGGCTGTGAGCTTCTCATGTCCCGCCTCGTTCTGTCTCATGACACGGTGCCTGTTTCTGATTTCTGCTCTTTTGCCCTCATTCACACGGGTGCCCGTCGGAGCAGCGCTACCGTATCGATCACCTGTGATAGGCCGGGCACGGCGGGCTCCTCGCGTAGCCGCCCTGGGAGGTTGGTGGGTGCCACGCTCGCTCGGTGGATGAAGGCAGACAGCAGAGTTGTGTCAGAGCAGCGGCAGGGCGGGCCCTAAGGTTCGGTTACGCTCCCACGCTTTTACTGTCAGCTGTTTTCCACGTTTCTACATGACGTGGGGATATCGCTTGGTTGACAGTCCGTCGGATCAACTTGTCACGATTTGCTAACGTCTCTTTCCCCCGCGTTCAGTATTTAGGTTGTTGGCCTTTGATGTTGTTGCTGCCGTTTTTGCCTTTCTTGTGATCAGCCACTCTGAACTGGACGTGTTCACGCACGAGCGTTTCTTCTACTCCTGGAGGGTGTGTTGGGGTAGGTCCCCCGGAGTGTTGCTCTTGTCCAGAGGGATGAGCGTTGGCCACCTGGGACCCACGTGCTGTGACCCGCTGTATGAGTCCGGGTCTCCAGAGAAGCAGAACCGATGGGGGCGGCGTGTGTCTGCGTGTGGGCAGGAGTCCTGCCTGCTTGTCCGCGGTTCCACTTGCCACGGTTTCCTTTCCACGGTTTCCGTTCCCCCGGAGCCAACCGTGGTCCTGGAGCAGTGGCGCTCCTTCTCCCGGCTCATCACGAGGTCCGCAGTGGCCTTGCGCTGCATCACAGCGCCCACGTTCACTCTGCTTCATCTCACTGATGCCGGCAGGCTGGGTCTGAGGACCCAGAAGGGCTCCCACAGGACCAGCCACGAGCGACCCTGGCTGCACACAGGCTAGAAATCAAACTCGAGCCAGCAGCAGAGGAAGACAGAACTCGCTGAAGGCGTGGAGTACAGGGACGGTGTGTTTGGGAGACACAGCAAGGGAAGGACGGAGTCACGTGCTTGCTTGGAGCCCGGGGTTTTTTACTGAGGATTGTGCTCTGGGGTATGTTACCTCTTGGGCGTCTGGGAACCGCTTAGAACAAAGACCAGGATCCAGGTGTTACGCCTTGGAGCCAGGGGGGTCTTGGCGTCGAGGGGTCTAGCGCCGGTGGTCTGGAATACTCTCTGAGACCTTCCTCCGGCTGTTCTAGCCTGGTCCTTCCTTGGATGTGATCTGGTCTAAAGAAATCGTTCGCTCCTTGTCCCTTACAAGGAGGACGTCTGCTATTTGCATTTTGAGGCACGTGTAACGTGGGGTTGCGGGTCCTAGCAGGAAAAGCAGCAGGAAGGGGAGCAAAAAGCTGATTTCTGTGGAGTCCTTCAGCTTCCCTGCCTCCTTATCACGTGGGCAGTGGGTCATCTCACGTCATCACGAGAAGGGTGACTACAGTGCAGTATGGTATTTTGAGAGAGAGAGAGAGACCACATTCACGAAACTTTTGTGGCAGATCACGGTTACAGTTGTCATATTGCATTGTAAGTTACTGTTGTTAATCTCCTAACGTGCCTCATTTATAAGTTAAACTTTACTATAGGTGTGTATGGATAGGAAAACACAGTATATCTATAGAGGGCTCAGCAATGTGTGTACTCTTAGGAATTCCTTGGGGGGTCTTGGGACGTATCCCCTGCGGATAAGGAGAGGGGGATGCTACCGTCTGTCTGAATCTGTCTGTCTAGATAGATTTTAAGGAATGGGCTCATGTGATTGTGGACGCCTGACATGTCCAGGATCTGTAGGGCGTAGGCCAGTGGGCTGGAGACCCAGGGAGGAGCTACATTTCCAGTCCAGGGGCAGGCTGCTGGCAGAATTCCTTCTTCTTTTTAAAAAAAAAAAAAATTTTTTTTTTAATGTTTTTATTTATTTTTGAGACAGAGAGAGACAGAGCATGAGCAGAGAAGGGGCAGAGAGAGAGGGAGACACAGAATCTGAAGGAGGCTCCAGGCTCTGAGCTGTTAGCACAGAGCCCGACGCGGGGCTCGAACTCACACACTGCGAGATCATGACCTGAGCCGAAGTCGGACTCTCAACCGACTGAGCCACCCAGTCGCCCCCAGAATTCCTTCTTCTTTGGGGGACCTCGGTTTTTCCTGTTAAGACCATCAGCTGATTGGATGAGACCCAGCCAAACATGGAGGGTGATCTGCTTTACTCAGAGTCCACCGTCTTAGGTGTTAATCTCATCTGAACATACTTCCTCAAGCAACTGGAACAACGTTTGATCAGATATCTTGGTGCCGTGGCCTAGCCACGTTGCCACATAACATCCACATAAGCCCTTTGTTCTTAAGCAGGGCCTTTTGGGACGTGCCACTTGCATTCAGTGTCTCTGTGGGTGAGTGCATCTCTGAGTTGATTCACCCTGTGTATTTTTTGTCCCCAGACACAGTCATTTTTCTTCCTATTAGCCTGGGGCCATTGAGGGCAGCCTGAGCGGGAGGGCAGCCTGCGAGCCAAGGTAGCCACCGCCGGCATTGTGATGTGTAAGACACAAAACAGTGCAGGGTGACCTTTACAGGGGCCCGGGCCCTTCTAGGCCATTGGGCCTCCTGCACATTCTGGACGGACTCTCCCTGGCGTAAGGCGGGGGATCTTGATTGAGCATTCTGCAGAGCCCCTTGGCGAAGAGCAGAGAATGATGAGATGGCCCACTGAGTAATACTTTTGTTTTGATTCTAAGCTCACGTTCATAGGAGAGGTCTGGGAGCTGGAGGGGCCAGCGTCTTAGCAGTTGAGCAGCACAGCCAGGTTTGTGAGGGAAAAGTGGCCCTTTCTGGAGAAGCTCTCTGTGGATGTGACAGCCTCTGGCCAGTCAGTGCCCTGATTGTCTTTAAAATGCTCTGTTGGCCAAAAGCTGGGTTTATGTTTCTGTTTGCTGGCAGTTAAAACGCTTCTTTGATGACCGAGGGAAAAAAATCTTGTCCCTCCTGCCTCAATATTTACAAGTGTTTGGTTTGCCTTTTTTTTTTTTTTTCTTACAAGAGGATAATATCTTTATTATAGAAAGGGGTTTTTCTGTCACTTGACGTGTGTCCTTGGACAACCAGTAGGGAAGTGGGGTGAAAGCATAATTCAAAAAGAAATACAAACATAGGGGAAACTGTTAACATCTTGCTAGCAATTAAGCAAATGCAGAGTGCAGCAGACAGCTGGAATTTTCCCCGGAATTTAAACTGAGAACCGGAGAAAAGGAGAGCCCTAGGTTAGTGCCCTGGTGGGGAGGGCTTGCTCTCCGCGTGTCCTCAGCTGCTTGGTACCTTCTAGGCACACAGTAGGCCTTAACTGTGGAGTGGATGATGGGGAGAGTCTGGCGCACAGGGCCGCTGGATCCTCACAGATCACGTCCCTCATGTTGACCGCCTTGTGGAAAGACGGTTTGACACGACCTCAGGAGCCTCCAAAATGTTTGTCCCACCTGATTCAGCAGTTTTGTTGCGGGGAATCTACCTGAGGAATGAGCCTCCGGAAAGGAAAACCCGTTGCTGCCTCTTGACTCCAAAGTCCTTGCTCACAGAAGTAGAACACTGGAGCTGACCTCAGCTCTTGTGTAGTTTAAACTCGAACGTCTTAATGATGCAGATCTTGGACATCTTTTTTTTTTTTTTAAGTTTTTAACGTTAAATCCAGTAGTTAACGTAGTGTTTCATTAGTTTCAGGTGTACAATATAGGGAGTCAGCAGTTCCATACAGGACCCAGTGGGATCTGGAACATCTTAAATGACATTTAAGAGTGTCTTAGTAGTGTGAACACAAACTTATGAATTAATATGGAGTGGGAAAGAGCAAAATATTAATCTTACATTGAGTTTCGTTATGACCTCTTAAAGAAAAATACGTGTAGAACGAAGCCGCTACGGAAATGGTGTCTAATGCAGTTTTGCTTTTGGTGTATCCCCTCCCCCCCCCCGCCACCCCCCGCTTTTTGGCATTTTCTAGCTTTTAAAAGAAATGTCTGACTTTTTTGATGAAAAGCAACACCCATTACTGGTTTTAAGCCAGATGTGGCACCACGTTCTGAGTGGGTCTGTGCCTTAGGAATCACTTCAGTATTAAGTCATTTTGGAGGTGGTGGCCCTTGGGCCCTTTTGCTTGGGTTCTGAATCTCAGCTAAGGGGACCTGGCTTCACCTGTGCTCTGCCTGTGTTGCTGAGAAGTGGCAAAATTTCCCCTTAGAAAGAGCAGAAAATCCCATCTGCCTGGAGCAAATGATTCTGCCGCCTCCTCCTGAAGGGCCCCCCTGAGCGCCTCTGGGTGTCTGGGAGTCCCCTGGGTCACCAGTTGCTAGATTGGAGCCCCAGGAGGGCGGCTCTGTACGGATTCTAGAGGCACAGCCAAGTTCACCCCAGAGCCCGGCCCAAGTTTGGTTCTGCTGGTGCACCCCACCCAGTCTGCTGAGCGTCTCGTTGTGGGTGTGACCTGCATGGTTAAATGACGGACTTTGCAAAATTCTGGTAGGATTATTTCCCGTTTGTTGCTCTGAGCCAAATGTTTGACCAAGAGGTAGACAGGATTGAAAGGAAAAGCTCTAACCGACTCTGGAAGCAGCACAGGCTTGCCCCCAGAGGCAGGCCCTCTCCCCTCACCCCTTGTTAAAATTTAAATTCTAGTTAGTTAACTGTCGGTTTCAGGAGTAGAACTCAGGGATTCATCACTTCCATACAACACCCGGTGCTCATCACATGCCCTCCTTAGTACCCATCACTCATCTAGCCCAGCCCCCACCCACCCCTCCCACCTCCCTGGTTGTTACTTTTTAAAGGATTGCTAAGGACAACAACAACAAAGAAGAATACTTATGCCACAAAGCCTAAAATGTATCCCGTTTGGTCCTTTACAAAAAATTATTCTTGATCCCTGCCCTGAACCAAAAGAAAAACTGCATACATCATGCCACATGGTGGGCGGCAGCCACGGGGCCCAATGTGATTGGATTTGGAAGATGTGGCCTCAGATCCTTGAAGCCTCGGTTCTGTCCAGGATACTGAACTTGCACGAGTGACATAACCTCCTGGAACTGGTTTCCTCTCTCCCGCCCCTCACTTCCCCCTCTTCCTCTCCCATTCTCTTACTCCTCCTCCTCCTCCCTCCCTCCCTCCCTCCCTCCCTCCCTCTGTTAAGTAGGCATGACCATGGTTTGCTTTGGATTTCTTTATAACTGTGTCCCAGAAAAGAAACTGAGTTACAGAAGGAAAGGAAGGAAGGAAAGGAAGGAAGGAAGGAAGGGAGGGAGGGAAGGAAGGAAGGATGGAAGGAGGATTCTTTGAACTTTAAAGCCTCTGCAAACACATTCTGGTATTTATTCATGTCTCCTACTTGCCCAGAGACAACTGCTGCAGTGGGGAAATCCTTTTTCAGACTCGCTGAACTGAACCAGCTGGTGTGACAAAGATGGTCCAGGTTGCTCTTGTACTTTGTGGATAAGGGGACAGCATGACAGCTCTTATGAGCCTGCTTTATGTTTAAGCTGACCCCCTTTCTTGGAAGGGACCCAGACACGATCTGGTCTGATTCTGCCATTTTACTAATGAGGGCTCGAGAACCAGCCAGGCAAAGGGACACTCGCCCCGGGTCTCGTGGCTGCCGTCACTCCAGAGCCTGGGACACTCTATCCTTCCTCCTGCTTCAGGACTTTGCACATGCTTTTCCCTTGCCTGCGTTCCTCTCGTCCTTCTCTTCACTTGGCTGACCTTGCGGTCTCACTTGCAGCTCTCATCTGTCACCTGTCTTCTTCAAGGAAGCTTTCCATGGCCTTCCTGACCAGCTCCATGGATCTGAGCTGCTGTCTTATGTCTACTTGTGGGATCGTGTGGTTCATGTCCTGGTCCCCCTATGACTTGTAAGCTGCCGGAGGGCGGGATAAACACTATTTGCTGGCTCTTTGGCCAGCACAAAATATACGTGAGCACAGAGCCTGGCATATAGTAGGGGCTCAGGAAACACTGGTTGAAGGCACGAATGTACGAGGCCTGGGTCTGGACCACACGCTCCTGCTCCCAGCCTGGGCCTCCTGTCTTCAGCTCAGTCATGGTCTGGTTGGTTCCCCAGAGGGAACTTGAGGGAGGCTGGCGGATGCTCGTGGCCCTCAGAGGCTCTTCAGTCTGTCACGCAGCTTGTACTCTCTCACCTCAGGCCGCTGGATGCGAACGCCCGCCTCGCCCAGATGCACAGCTGGGCCCCACTGCAGGTGCTCCAAGGTGACGCCGATGTCCTCTTTCCGGTCAGCGGAGTGGGCTCGTATGGCCCTGCAGGTGGGTGTTCCCCGATGACGTGTTCCGTCCATTCATGAGCTTGGGCCCCGGGAGCCAGCAGCAGGGTCCGGGTCCCCTCTGCAGTAGGACTGCACGAAGGGGTGTGGGGCCCAGGGCTGCAGAGGCTTGTTGAGGTTGGGACTGCCTGAGGCTTTGGCTTCTCTTCTTGCTGAACCCGAGGGCTTGACTTGCTCCCACCTGAGCGAGTGCTGGGCCAAACCAGCTGACACGTCATGAAGGAGCCCCCAAGCCTGTGTTTTTTCCTCCCCAGTGATTCTGTTTTGGAACTTGGTCATATACAAGCAGACCACCAATGGTGACGGTTATTGTTGCCTCTTAGGGAAAAAGTTACAGCACCCTTTGCAACCAAGTGCTTGGGGTCGGAGAGTAGCTTGCTTGAAACCTGCCTTTAGAGTGGATGAGCGTTTTGGACCCCTTCCATTTGGTTGAGTGTGCTCTTGTGTGGTTTGTTACTCTTTTCTTTAGCTAGAGCAGGTCACAGGGAGCAGCGGGAGAGGGGCGAATGGGAGGGAGCAGCGGGAGAGGGGCGAATGGGACGCGGATGAGCCCGGTTGGTCGAGGGGTGGGCGTGTGGTGCAGCCGGTACGGTGCCCGGCGGCTGTCACGGCCCCGCGACACCACTGGGTTAGTGACGCCCCAGCCTCATCCCCTCCCCTGCCCACAACCCCCCGTATAGGCCCCTTCTCACCCTCCCAGGGCCGGGTCTGAGAGGACGTAACAGGGCCCACCAACTGCTCAGGAGGCTGTTGACATTGTGAACCGGATGGTGGACTGTTCTCGTCACCAGCCGGGGACAGAAACTCCCTCCAAGTAGCTGGAGCGCAGGGGCGGGCGGGCGGGACCCTCACTGCTGGCAGTCTAGAGTGGGGGTCAGGGAACCTGGCTCCAGGAGCTGCGTGAGCCGGTCACCTCTCCGGGTGGCAGTGCTCCTGGCGGAAACTGAGGCTCCAGAGCGTGGTGGCTGAGTGACTCAGTCCGCCGGGCCGGGCTCCTCTTCAGAAGGTGCAGCCGGTGGTGATCCTGACAGCTGAGGCGTACCAAGCCCTTGGAGCGAGTCCGGGACTGCAGGGCAGCCGGTGTGGATGAACACGTCCCCTCTCGCCCACGGCCCGTGAGGAAGGGCTGGGCGTGTTCTCTCACCTTCCTCTAGATTTGTGGCGGGGACTCCCAGGTGAATGTGGGGAGAGGCGCCAGGCACCTGCCGCGGCCCCGAGAGAGCCTGCCGTCCACGTGGGCATCTCGTGCTGGGGACTTGGAACGAAGAAGGGCGTTCGTGTGTGTCCCCCATCCCGCGCCCCGCACTTCCTCATGTGGTCTGTCCTGTCTCCACTGCCCTTTGACAGTCTTGCTCTCTCTTGCCCTCTCCCCTTTCGGCCTCAGCCGCGCGGCCTTCTTACCAGCCAGCGCTTCTCCTGGGGTCTCCGCTGAAACCGCTGAGAGGGGCCGGCTGGTGGGCCCGGCTTCTCCTTTCCCTCAGGTGGCCGTCCGTGGTCCCAGCGGCCAGCGGTGGGGTTGGGTGCCTCGCCGTTGTCCACTGAGCACGGTGCACGTGGGGGCTCACAGAAAGCAGGTGGTCCTGACGCCCACGTGGGACCCGTGTGGGACTTCCAGCTGGTGACCCAACACCCTACTCACCTTGTCGCCCTCCCCACCAAGGGGGCCTTTCTGCCCAGCTGCCAGGTGCCCGCACTAGGCACGCTGTCTCGTTTCTGGCAGCCCCTTCCTCTTGGGGCTGGGGGCTGGCTGCTCCAGGGGCGCTGCCCTGTTGCCCTCTGTGCTGGGGTGGAGTCTTCCAGAACCCAGCACTCCTCCTCCCTCTGCGGGCTTCCTCCAGGGTCTGCGGGGAAAGCGGCCTCTGGCCAGCCTCCAGCATCCTCTCGGGAAGCTTTCCCCTGGTCCCGCCTCTGCTTGTCAGCCTTCCAGACCCGAGGCTTCACCTTGTCACTGTTGGGGGACCCCGAGCTCCAGCTTATCTCCATTATCCTCATCAGACATGCTGTGTGTGAGCCGCCTGCCAGCTTGTTAGTTTACTGTGGTAACAAAGCCGCCAGGAGTCCCGGGAGCCTGTGACAGCCTTGGGCAGACTCGCCGTGGGTAGGAGTTGCATAGGAAGACAATTATGCTCAGGCTGCAGAAGACAGGAGAGACAGCACCGGAGTCGATCTGCTGCCCGACTGGAAGGCCAGGTGGCATCGAGTCCCTCCCGGCCTGGCCCCCGTTTCCCTGGGAGGTGGGCGGACCTCTGATGTCAGGACTCACCTGTCAGGGAGGCCTTTCCCTGGGCGGCTCTGAGTGCATGCTCTCGGCATTTCTGTCCCAGACTCCTTTGCTCCTGGTGACTTCTGACCGCTCTCCTTTCTGAGTGACACCCTTCTACTTGAGCAGGGTTAACATAGTCTCTCATTCTGGCCAGGGAGCCATTTTGTGTCTTTAGTGACAGTTTTGGACCCAGATGGCTCTACTCTTAGGAGACCTTCCCATCATCTTTGAAAGTGTTGGTATCTGTAGTGTCACTGCCCGTGGGGACATTTAGAGGAAGATGGAGGGAGGCACGTGGTGGAGGAGGAGTGTTTTGGTGGCCACATCTGGAGAGAGAGAAGGTGGCAGAGAAGGGGACTCCGGACACAGAAGTATTGTCCTGATTCGTGGACGGGGAGGCTCTGTGGCTTAGGGGGCCGTGCTTTGGAGCTGGGGTGGGAGGCTCAGAGAAGGAAGACACCATTCAGGTCACATGGGACCAGGGTGTGGGATTAGATACAGTCATTCCTCTGGGCGTGTCTGTCACCTGCAACATAGCAAAGCACATTTACCATTTCTTTGAAGCTGCATGGGAGAAGAAGCCCCAGAGTTCCTTTCAACCAAGAATACTCAACGGAGGTGAACACCCATTTCTACCCATTGCACACATGAAATTGTTATTGCTCCTGTCCTCATCGAGGGTCCTGGGGTTGGTGGTGGGTCTTAGCAACTTCAGAGTTAGTTAGCTTCTTTTCTTTTCTTTTCTTTTCTTTTCTTTTCTTTTCTTTTCTTTTCTTTTTTTTCTTTTTCTTTTCTTTTCTTTTCTTTTCTTTTCTTTTCCTTTCCTTTCCTTTCCTTTCTTTTCTCTTATTTTCTTTTCTCTTTTCTTCTTTTCTTTTTCTTCTTCTTCTTTCTTTCTTTCTTTTCTTTCTTTCTTTCTTTCTTTCTGTTTATTTATGTTAGAGAGACAGAGAGCATGCACACAGGTGGGGGAGGCAGAGATCGAGAATCCCTAGCAGGTTCCCTACTGTAAGTGCAGAACCCAACGCGGGGCTCAAACTCACCAACTGTGAGATCATGACCTGAGCCGAAATCAAGAGTCGGACACTTAACCGACTGAGCCCCCCCCCCAGGTGCCCCCCAGCTGCCCTCCAGGGTCCGTTTGAGGCCTTGTTCATTCATTTGAGACCTTGGGTCCTCAAACCTTCATTTCCCCGGTTCTTCAACTTCTTGTCTCACGTTGGGTCTTTGGGGTTGCTTGTTGGGATCTAGGAGGCTCTGTTGTAGCACCGCACTGACCTGAGACGGTTGATCCGGGGCTTGGCTCCCAGTGGGTAGTGTTACTGTTGGGGATGTCAGGACCCTGTGGTGCCCCTGGACCCGCATGATGTGTGGTCCCCACACCGCTCATGAAGGTCGTGTGCCACTCAGGGCTCGTGGTTTTCTTTACGCAACCAGTGGGTGTCCTGCTCTCTACCGGCCCTGTGCTGGGCTCTGGGGGGATCCGGAGATGAGCCCTCCCAGCCCCCGGAGTTTTGCGTGCAAGGAGGGGACAAGGGACATCGACAGCTCCCTCTGCTGCCACCCCTGCCCCCACCCTGGCCACTCTTCGCACAGCAACTGGAGTAATGTCTTAGAACTTGAATCAGATCGCCTCATTCCCCTGCTTCAAGCTCTTCTGGTGCCCTGAGGATAAGATCAGGAACCCTCACTGTGGCCCCCGAGGCCCCGGCTTGCCCCACAGCTTGATGCCCTCGCGATGCCCCAGCCACACCAGCCCGCTTCTGCTTCCTCGAGCCGAGCCCACCGCCGTCTCTCTCCTCCTGCCTCCTGCGGCCTGTGCGCGTCCTTCGGGTGGCAGCCCAAGTGTCACGTGCAGAGGGCTCCTCCGCCCCCTTCCCAGGCAAGCCGGGCGTCCTGTTCACACTGCCATAAACCTCGTGTGTCCCCATGCCCTCACCTCAGCTTGGAACCGTGTATTTGTGTAATTACTTGGTGATGCCCATCCCCCTGCTAGTCTTTGAGGTCCTCGAGGGCGGGGCTGTGTCTGCCCTGGTTCCGGTGTGACCCTGACCCTGGTCAGAGCCGGGCCCACAGTGTGGGCTCAGGAAGCCTGTGCTGAGTGGGGGCGCAGTGGGCGGACCGAGTACCTGGGGGTGGGGCTTGCCGACGGGAGTGGACACCTGGTAGTTGGAAAACGGATATCCAGGTGGGGACACGGTATAGACAGAGGAATGGGGTGGGGAGTTCAAGGACGCCTAGAGAGAGAGGCACGCGGCCCAGATCAGCTGTGTTGAGAGATCACGGAGGGGGAAAGGGCTTAGCTCTGGCTCTGGGCAGAGTGAGGTTCAGACTCTCACACATTAGCTTGTGATCTCGGACAGGTCACTGAACTCCAGGGCCGTCTCCACATCTGAAAAATTAAGATAATAGTAGCGGGCACCTCCGAGGGCGCCTTGAGGGCGAGTGAGGCAGCCTGGGCGGCCTGTGCTCCTGTGGGACATCGCTGGGCTGAGTCGGATGGAGGGTGTCTGGAATGCTGGCGGACGATGTGGGCCTTTACTCCAGCCGTGGGTTTCCGCTGTGTATGTTGGAGTCCCCGTTTCCGCTCCAGGGAGGGGAATCTGATAGCCGTGGGTGGGTTGGACCATTAGGGGTGAGGCAGAACTGTGGGGGCTCCTGCAGGAGACCCCTGGAAGGTATTGAGCCTCAGCACTAGGGTGGCAGTGGAGACGACTCTGGACAAGGAGTGGGCGATAATGAGGTGGAGCCGGCAGGTCTGGGGCTCCCTGGCTCCATGGTGGAGGGAGGAGGGCGCCTCGCTCTGAGGGGAGAAGGCCCAGTGGAGAGGGTGACAGAAGGCAGCAGTTTGGACGTTACGATCAGTTGGTGGGCCCTGCAGGGTGGCCCGGTAGAGCTTTCAGGCGGGCGGCTAGCACCGTGGGCCACGGGTTCCGGATTGAGGTCTCAGCCAGAGGCGCTTGCTTGGGACGTGTCCCCTTTACACAGCCAGGGGCCAGGGCCCAGACCCTGTTGGAGTGGCCAAGGGGGGCCCCTGAGCCGGGATCCAGAGGCACGGTGACAAAGGAATCAGAAAAGATGAAGGTGGGAGGGCGGGGATGATGCTGGTGGTGGCGATGGAGCCTGTGGTAGGCAGGCTGGGCTGTAGGGTGACATTTCCCCCTCAAACTCCTTTAAAAAAGTAGGAGCGAGTGGAATAGCTTGATGGGGATGGCAGGGTAGAAGAAAAGGTGGCAAAACATTCTCTCCTTAGGACTCCCCAAGTGCAACCCCTTTAAGAGCTGGGGAATCTCCAGCAGGATGAAACTCCGGCCAAAACGGGAGGAGGGGACAGGCAGGAGGCCGCCTAGCTTAGGGCAGTGAGATGGGCTCCCTCCCGCCTCAGCCCCGTGCCTGCATCCGGGCCTGGTTCTGCAATGGGGGTCGAAAAGCCAGAAATTTCTCCACTGGGCAAGTGTTAGCCATGGGTGATACCGGCCTTAATGTCACCGTCCAGCCCAGGGGGCCATGATTTGCACTTTTTTCTGAAAAGAGACTTGAACAGCAACTAACACATTTATGAAAATCTTCAGTGCCTCTAGAGGTGATTTGTGGCCTCACTTGTTCCGAATGCCTTTCTCACACACCACTCTCTGTGCTGGGTGGTAGCTTTTCAGAAGGCCACAGGGCCCTGGGTTTTGATGTAGACGCTGTCGGTGATGGGACTGTGCTGCCCCCTTGTGTCTGTCATAAGCCAGTACAGTGCAAGCGGTTTTGTCCAACAGAAAGCTGATTTTTGTTCTCTGATCCTGAGGCTGGCTCTGAATATGGTCTTGGTGCACCATTCCAGGTGGCTCAAGGTCAAAAAGGTTAAGTGGGATGTTGGGGCCCCCTGCCTTGTGTCAGTGCCTGGTGGTAAATCTGAGATTCTGGCCAAAAGGACGAAACAAGCAGCAGATTAAAATCCGGCGTGCAGGCCAGGAAACATTTGTAAATCGACTGATGTAGAGGGGAGCCCGTGTCTGCACCGTGCCCGTGCCTCCTGGAGAGAACGAAATGAAAACAGACTGCTGACTTTCTCTCCGCCACTGCTCTCTGTGCACAGATGCCCCCCTTGGGAGCCTGGAGAACGGGACCGGACCAGAAGACCATGTTCTCCCGGAGCCTGGGTCCCGGTACAGGTTAGTATTCAGAAGCCAGATCGCCTTTGGGATTGAGTTGTCCGGTTGATGCTTTTTTGAAGGTAGGAGCGCACCTGCTGGGATTCAAGGTCAAGGCCTTATTTCACACTTTTGTTCAGGTTTAGATGGGAACTTACCGAGGGTGTCCGCGTGAGAAACGGCGTGTTACCAGACTTCATTCGTGGACCTCCTTTACTTGTTATGATTTTGGGGGCATATCTGGGTACCTCGTCTACTGTCATTTACTGGGTTTTAACATTTGGTCACAATATTAGGCAACTTTAATATTGTGGAATACTTGAGCCACTTAGCTCTCACGTATTTGAGAAGTGCTTCGTCCCGAATAGAGTAGTAAGCACCATGTCGGGTTTCTGATTTTCAAGTAAAAGTATCTCAAAGGGAAACTGAGTTGCTCAAAGTCGTTGGATATTTGGTGGCAGAGCTCAGATGGACACCGAAGTCTCCCTGATGCCACCGCGATCTTTGCGGCTCTTAGAGTTGTTTCTTCTTCTCTCTTCACGGTTTTAACTGGGCGCAAACCAGGGGTCGATCACACCTGCATTTTCAACCTCAGCTCCAGGGTGGGAGTCACTGGTTACATCAAACCATGCTTGGTGTTACTGTCTCTCCCTGAGTCGACGGGGCTCTGCTCTGTGACAGTGACACCACCTGTAGGTTCCTGCACGGTCAGTACATTGTCAGGGAAGACGGGTGTCACCAGGTCCATCCAGGATGCAGAGTCCTTTCTGCTCTTTCTTAAAAAAATGTTTTTAATGTTTTATTTATTTTTGAGAGAAAGAGACAGAGTGCTAGCAGGGAGAGCAGAGAGAGAGGGGGACACAGAATCCGAAGCAGGCTCCGGGCTCTGAGCTGTCAGCACATGGCCCGATGCGGGGCTCGAACTCACCGACTGTGAGATCATGACCTGAGCTGAAGTTGGACTGAGCCACCCAGGCACCCCTGCTGTTTGTTTTAGAAGAATACTGAGTGTTGATTTCAGGGACACAAATCAGCATCAGCGAGCAGGCAGATTTGCAAAGAGGGAGTCTGCAAATGATGAGGGCTGACCGGGGTTTTGAAGGGCTGCCTCCTGCGCCTTCTGGTGGTTGTACCTGAAAACGCTGAGTCCCTGCTAGTTCTGTGTTCATTTTGAGTGGCCGAGTGTGACTTGCTCCCGTCTGCTTTTTCCCAGTGTGGAAGCCAGTCCTCCTGGCCAGGGAGGCCCTCTCAGCAGCCTGCTACCTTCCTCCTCGGTGCCAGAGTCGATGACAATTAGTAAGTACCTGCTGAGTATCCTCCCCCAAGGCCAGGTGACTCTCGGGCCTGCGCCTCAGCGGGTGCTGTGGCGCTTGCCCCTGCGTGACTGTGGACTTCACGAGATGTGGGGTAAAGTCAGGTGTGTGTGTCCGTGGTGTGAGTGTGCTGTGCCTTTCTAAGCTTCCTGAGCTGTGGTTAATGACCAGTTTGGGCGTGTGCCCGCTCTAAAGGACACGCTTCAGAGCTGGAGCGGCACTGAGTTTTGAGGGGTTTGGGGGCTTGCCTCCTGTACGGTCATCAGCCACAGAGGAACTGTGCTGATTGGGTAGGTCTGGAGGAATCATTTTCATAATTAAGGAAGAGTGTATCTCTTAAGTGCGAAGGTTGTTAAAGATCAGGTTCAAATGGTTTCGAACCTTCCTGCTGGGGAAAAAGTATTAGAGATATAACAAGATTAGGTTTGTGTGGTTTTATATAATAAAGAGAAAGCCAGCTGTAGCTTAATGAGATAGAAATTCGTCTCTCTTTCCAGAAGTAGGCAGGCTGGGGCTGGTATGTGGCTCCATGTTCGTCAAGAGACTGGGACTCCTTCCATCTTGCCTCGTAGTCCAAAATGGCTGTTTTAGCTCCAGCCATTCCAGTCTCATCCCAGGTAGCAGGAAAGAGGAGGGAGCAAAGGAGACATTTCCTCCATCTCCATCGATAGGATTCAACTTTTTCCTCTAGCCTCTGACTGAAATTTACATTTCCTTCAATTATGAAAGTACCGGCAAACCATAGAAACCACATTCGTGTTAACAAAATGGGTGACTTTATCGCCGATAGAAGTCGCAGGCCCCCGTGAGAGCTGAACATGAAAAAAAAATCTCAGATTATTGTTTCTGCTGGAAAATAGGGTAGTTTTTAAAATGTGATAATAAAGAATTCTGTGTATTTTTGTGTCACTTTTATTTTTTACATTTTGATAATCCTATTTCAGTATAATCTGTTCCTTTGAAATCTTGTGTGTTTTATTTTCTGTATTTTAAAATCTTTTTCTGAGAAGAGGTCCGTGGGCTTCACCAGACTGCAGAACGGGTCCACGGGGTACAAAAAAGTTGACGCCTCCCCCCAGCTGCGAGGACCCTTCCTAGAAGTGCACACAGTATCCCACTGACTTGGCCAACATCAGTCCCATGGCCTCCCCGACTGCTAGGGAGGCAGTGCCCCCCTACCCCCACCATAGGGTTTTCGTTGCTTAGGGAGGCAGTGCTCCCCACCCCGTCATTAGGGTTTTCATTGCTTAGGGAGGAAGAGCGGGGTCTGGGAGACGGCCAGCACTGTCTGAGTCAGGGATCAAGGAGGAAATGAGGTTGGTCGGTGGGAATGACCAGTCTCCCTCTGTGCAGTGAAAGCGTGCAGTTCATTACGGCGCTTCTCAGGCTTGAGTTCGGCTGGGCAGATATTTGTCCATCTGTACATGTGGGGCGCACGGGCTGGGAGAACACTGAAGTCGCTGGCTTTCAAATTTCAGTTATTTATTTACCACTGTACTAGTATTTATCCTGTAATTTTTTTTTTTTTAATGGGTGCACTTAGGAAAAGTTGAGTGCCTTTATTTAAAAAGGGAACTTTCCATGATTGTAGTAAATGGAGAGTCACTCTTAGTTGACCTAAATAGCAGGTAACTGAAAACAAAGGCAGCGGAAAGGAGCCAATGCTCAGTCGGCCTGGATGTCTTTGCCTGTCCCAGCTTCTGTCTGAGACCCCCTCCCATTGTTAAAAGGAGGCGAGTAAGTGAGCAGCACAAGGAGGGTGTTGGGGATATCCTAGTGCTAAACTCTGATCTTTTTTCTGGAAGTAACCAGAAGGATTGAGAAGGGACAGAAGGCGTCTTGTCCGAGTCCCTGTGACTTCATGCCTCGTCTTTCTGCATCTGCAGTGTTCTCTGTTTGTGTGGCTCCCACCTCACACAGAGGGACGAGACTTCACTCTGGCCCTGAGGTGTGTCCCCTCCAAGGAGTTTCCGTTTGCTTTGCAGAGAACGGCGACCCCGAGATCGCGCACCCGAGTACCATGCTTCATAGGGGCCTTGCCGTGGGTGCTTTACTGGGGTGCGGGCATCTCCGTGCACCCCAGCAGCTGTCCAGCACTGTGTTCCCCGGATGAAGTCCCTCCACCACCGCCGAGCTCGGGCCGCGCTGCCGGCTGGCCTGTGGGTCTCCCTCAGCCACTTTGTGCCGGAGCAGGTAGCTGGCCCTGCGTGCCCACCGGCAGTAAGGTCGTCCGTCCAGACAGACTGCAGTTGCGCCGACGGCTGAGATTTAGGCTCTGTTTTCCTTGTTTTGACTCAGACGGTTTTCCGAAAACGTAAATCCGGTTGTATGACTTGCGATCTTCGGCAAGTAGGGACTTACCCAGAGTTCGTGACTCGAGTCTCGGAGGAGATATGTCAGCACACCCGCATCTTGACCCTCGGTACTTTGTGGTGGTGAACGTGTGCTTCCTGGGGCAGGGGCAGGGGGTGGGGGCCCTGTTTGCTGAGGTGGCGGCAAATTTCAGCGAGCCTTCTGGACGCAGCCCTGCATTGCCCGTGTGTGTTCCGGGTGAGAGGTCAGGATCCTTAGAAATTTCGGATGGAAGGTGGGTTTGACTCGTGGCCCCCTCATCCTGCCTCTGGCACCGTGTCGTTGTAGAAAAACGAGAAGCGTGAGCCGGTCCGGGTGTCCAGGGTGTCAGCTGGGTGTCAGCTGGGGTGGCCCTAACAGAGCCCCACAGACTGGGCGGCCTGAAAACAAACTTCTGTCTTGCAGTTCTGGAGTCTGGGAGTCCAGGTGACCGTGACGGCTCCTGGCAGGGCTGCCGTCCTTGCCTTGCAGCTGGCCTTTTCTGTCTGCCTGTGCATCCCTGGTGTCTCCTCCTCTGCTGATAAGGACCCCTGTCCTGCTGAATTAGAGTCCCACCCTTAGGACCCCATTTCACCTTAATTACCTCCTTAAAGGCTCTACCTCCCAGTATAGTCCCACTGAAGGTTAGGGCTTCACATATGAATTCTGCCTGGCTGGCGGGGGGGGCACCTGCAGTCCTGGGGAGTCCCGAGAATGGTGTCCTAGGAGCTGCCCACCTCCAGTTCAAGGATTGCATCCCAGCATGTGAAGCACGTAGGATTCCACTCAGGGGAGATGCCTGCCTCTCTAAAACCCCGAAGAGCCTGGCTGGGGGGCCCCAGCTCTGCTCTGTGAAGCAGGGAGCATTTCCCTCACATCCTGCCAAGCGGCTTCCCCAGTTCCTTTACTGGTCAGTACAGGCAGCTGCCTCGGTGCTGTGACAAAACTGGAGTCCTGAATCCTCGGTGCTTGGGGATAACTCACAGGTCCCCTGCCAAGCAGCCTTCCCCTCGAGAGCTCTCTCTCTTCTCTCTCTCTCTCTCTCTCTCTCTCTCTCTCTCTCTCTCTCTCTCCTGTGTCTGTCTCTCCTCTCGAGACATGTCTCTCGATGTGGCAGAGGGTTTTGTCCTTGGCTTTTTGGCTTGTCGGCTTGTCGTTATTAAGGGCCCAAGAGAGGATGCTGTGGCCAGGCCTACATTGCTGACCTTTCTGCAGGCCCTTTGGCACTTGAGAGCACACAAGGCCTGTTGGGAAGAAACGGTTATTTCGTGAAGTACTAGAGGCAGTCTGGAGCACCCCAAAACAGCCGCAGTTCTGCCCAGGCACTTCCATTTCCACAGCTAAGTTTGTGTGTATTTGTGTTTCGGGTGCGCAGGGGTGGGAACCGCGGCCCGCCTGTTGCTTTGGCGGGTGATGTGCTGTCCCAGCCAGGAGGCCACACTCTGAAACCAGGCCGCCTGGTTCCCCAGGCTCCCCTGGGTGGACGGAACCTCTTGGGGTCTGTCATCCCAACCCAAGGATGCTGCCAACACCCGTCTTTTGCTGAGAAGAGTAGTTGGGTCAGAGCTGAGAGTCGGTGAGCAGCAGCTCTTATCAGTGAGCCTGTTTGTATTGTTTCCTTAACGTTATTCCCGAGGCCTTACCCCCTTCATCTCCCGGATCATCCTGCCGCACGACTGTAATATTCCGACTTACTGGATTGTTTGGGCAGTTAAAAGTGCCATTAGGTATTTTTTGTTTTTGCACTGACTGTCTTCACTCAGTTAAAAAAATTTTTTCTGTTAAAAAGTTTTTAATTTTTTTTAATGTTTATTTATTTTTGAGAGAGAGGGAGGAGTGTTACAGAGGCCGAGCAACCTGAGCAGGGAGGCAGAGAGGAAGAGCCTTAGAATCGGAAGCAGGCTCCAGGCTCTGAGCTGTCAGCACAGAGCCCAGCTGGGGCTCAGGCCTGAGATCATAGGACTGAGCAGATCATGCCATATTGTCAAGTCAGGACTGGCAACCTGCCACTTGACCTGTGGTCACCAGGCTTCACTCATTTTAAGGAAAGAATGGGCAGCACCAGGCTTGTAGTAAATTATTTTTTTCTGCTTATGTGTTCCTTCCTGGTTAGTGCCTGGGCTGGGGCGTGAGCAGGCCACAGGTGAATCCTGTATTTATGGGCCTGTTACCAGTAGCCTTTGTATGTTCTCAGTTAACCGCATTGCCAGTAGGGTGACAGCTGGTGACAGCTGGTGACAGCTGCCGGGTTCTTGTCAGTTCACCAGCAGTACTTGCGAATAGTTTAATGCAGTCTGCTACTTGAAGAGCTGGAAAAATGGGGCTTTGAGGCTGGGTGGCTGTGCATTCCCTGGAGGGGCAGCCCCTCTCCATGCTTTTGTATGACATTTGTAGCCCCCCCCTCCCCCCGCCTTTTGTTTCTATCCTTTTGTTGGGGACTCTGGTGCTCCCGTTGGCTCTTCTGCCTGACGTGGAGAGGAAATGTGGGGGGGGGGGCACAGGACGCTGTTCGCTGCTCACAGCGGTGGCCGTGTGGCTCGGGGAGAAGGCCAAGAGGACAGGCCGACGGCCCCCACCTCCCCGTGGTAACCTTGGCCTGTATGTCAGTGAGCAAGGAGCCAAAAAGCCTGGTCCGAGGAGTTGCCAGCCAGA